GTCTTTTCTTTCTTTCAGTTTTTTAAGTGTATCGGATTCTGTTTTTGAAAGATTAAAGTTATGGTATCTCTTAGAATTAAGTTCTTTAAAATCTCTTAATATCATTTTACTGAAAGCCTCTAACTGGCTACCCTTCTCATTAGGGTAACACATAGATCTCGGTTTGAATTGTTTTAGGGTCAGAATTTGTTTGTTCACAGATACTATTTGTGCTCATCATACCATCTTGTCTTTTTGTTTTTTAAATCTCTTGAGACACATTTTTCTCCCGAACATGTGTGTCAATGAAGAGCTGGAATATATTGGGCGGAACGCTCGGTGTAGATTTAAAGCCTTTATTAAGTATTAAATACTCCTCGTGGGTTAAAATAACTCCTAAGATGTTAAAAATCCCTAATTCTTCTTCACTATTTATTGTATTTAAACTATATCTCTTTCTCTGCTTGTTCTCCTTCTCTTGTTCGGAGTGTTCAGATCCTCTAGTGGTGAGAATCTGTTGGTGATTCTCAGTCTCGGTGGTCTCGGGGAAAAATATTCTGTGATTGCTCCCTTTTTGGGTCATGCCCCCTTTCTAAAAAACCCCACCTGTTAGTGTCACTTTGGGATTGATTTTCATCACTATTTAGTCTTATAGTGGTCCCTAGAGAATCATTGGAGTAGGTCCAGTGGGTGACCTCTTGTGTGTCGTATTTTCCTGCTAATGAAAATGTTAGCATATAGAAGTTAGTACTGGACCTGTATATATTTGTAAAGTGGTATAAGATCACCTCTGAAGCACCTTATGCCAATGAAAACAAATGCAGTTTGCCTTTCCTTATAACTAATATTTTCCATCCTCCTTACTAATTTTGTAGCTCGCCTCAATCTCCTTTTACATTTATAGTTTAGACATTTTGCAATTCTATAACTTTTATTAATGTATGTAAAATTAACTTTATGTTAATATTACGGTAATATGTAATTTCTTCTGACATAAATTTTCAATCGCAATGGTTACTATTTTCAGTAGAAGCGGAGATACAATAAAGCCATGCTGAATGTACATTCCTTTCTGTCTTTCTAAGGTTTTACAGTTACTATTCACTCAACAGAAACACTCAGGGAGATAAAGCTGCTACACAGGGGAGAAAGTCAGAACCTGATCTAGTTGGTTTTAAATACAGAGGAAACACTTACAAGCCTTGGTATGTGCTACAGTAAATGGGTTTTGGAATATGAATATTAATAATTGTTTTCACCACTGTTTTATTATAGGATCTTAGAGGAAATGTTATTAAAATCTGTAAGTTTCTTGGGAAGGAGTTGGACGACACAGCCATTGATTCAGTGGTCACTAATTCCACATTTAACGCCATGAAAGGAAACAACATGTCCAATTACAGTGCAGTGCCTAATTATCTATTCAACCAAGACAAAGTCTCATTTTACAGAAAAGGTATAGTATGATTCATATACACATCTTCTCCATCTCTGACTTGATGGCCATCTGCTTCCTGAAAGATCATCATTCTAAAACAGAACTATTTGTCTTATCTCATTAGGGCGGCTGTGTCAATATAGTATCATTTGTGACTCGTTGACACATTTAAAATGTGTTTGTTTCCCCCTAAAAATATATTTAAGCATTTATAACATACGATAAAACCACTGTACTTGTTCATGTATTCATTATCTCCTGACTTGACATTACATCTTTTTATGAGACTTAAGCCACTACATTTTGTGTGTTTTTTTTTTTAAACACATGTCACTATTTGTAAGTGTCACAAAATTAGGTTTGGCATCATAGCCTAAGTTATGCTTATAACATATAAACATACACACATGCGTTACTCTATTAATAGGAATGAGTGATGGCTATCATTAAACTTAAAGATTATTCTTAGATAACTGATTAGGGTACAATTAGTAATTTTTTATTTTTTTATTCTTTATTTATGCAGTGACACATGAGAGAAAAAACAATCTTACAATATCTTGGCTTGCACAGAAGCCGATATAAGCAATGTGTTTGGATGCACTTTGTATACGTGCCAAGTATGTTTACAATATATCATGATTTTTCATACTTATATTAAGAAAACAGATAAAACAAAACTTAGAAACATAGATACTATTGGGTGAAGCACTGGTAGTATTGTCCCTCGGTATCCACACGGGCCAGTGCTTATTGTATCGGGTCCAGAGCCAAGACGCCAAGAGCGGTCTAGCAGCTCAAGCCTTGCCTGCTGGCGCCCCTGCCCGCCACCGTGTCCCTGTGTCCATGGGGACCCCCATAGGCTGACATTAGCATCTGTTGACAAGCTGTGTTACCGGTCAAGTGTACCATGTGGCCCCCGAGCAGGTCCTGAAAACTAGAGCAATGGCTCGTGATCCCCACCCGTACCCCCTCCAGTGTCTCCCCCAGGTCTTCCTCCCACCGGTCCATGTATTGTACCCTCTGCCTCTGATTCTGAGCTTAAGTGACTATAGAGTAGGGAGATTAGACAATTAGCAATTTCAATTATAGTGAGCAGCAACTAATGCCAGCCATCTTCGTTTCAATATGTAATTGGCTAGACAGTACACACCAGCGTGAATATGCAGTGTAGTTTTTGGGTATCAGAAGGATATTATGAAACTAAAAAAAAATGCTTATGCAACTCATATAGACAATTTCTTATGAAGAAAGGCAAGAAATGCTTGCTTTATACAGTGAAAATAAGCATTTCTAAGGAATTTCATAAATTAATACAAAAAGCGAAAAGTTCTTTATTGGCCTGTTCGTTAAAGGTATATATGAACTACTACAGCTCAATATAGTGGTGCTGTTGTCTATAGCATGTCCCTGCAGGATTTGAAGTGTAAATGCTGCATTTTCAGAGAAAAGGCAGTGTTTACTTTGCTGCCTACGAACAGCCCCATTGGTAGTCACTCAAACGGCCACTAGAGGGTTTTCCTATCTCAGTGCTGCACAGTGCAGTGCATGTCCAGCAAAACAGCGCTACGCCAATTATCTCCTCATAGAGATGCATTAAATGAATGTGGAAATGTTCAGCCATTTAGCGTCTCCTCGCTCTGAATGAAGGCGCTGAACATTTCCACATTCATTTAATGCACCTCTATGAGCAGATGCTGATTGGCGCAGCGCTGTTTTGCTGGACATGCGCAATAGCCTCCTAATGTTTTCCTATGTGAAGGCATTGGATTGGCTGAGATCATCAAGATTAGCGATTCCTCCCAGCCATGGATGGGAGTCAGCTGCGGTGAAAGTTACCAATATTACCTTTTCTATGGGGCAGGAGACTTAAATAATTAGTTTAATACTATACTTTTAGGAATACATGCTTGTATTGCTGACACTGTATTGTTCCTTTAAGAAGACTGTTGAAAAAAGCAAAAATGATCAACTGAGGCTTGAAGAAAGGAGATTTCACCTCCAGCAAGAATATTTCACCTTATAAACAATAGCAATACCTGCATTGTATTCTCAGGTATATATTTTCCATAATGGTTTCAGAACCTTTTGAATTGTAAGTTGATGATAGCCCAGATATTAATCTAAAGAATATCCAGACACATAAACTGTATATATAGAGATAGACAGACAAACTGACATACAGGTTAATGCATGGGCAGGGATACGGTGAAACTAATTAACCCTCTTAAGTGGACAATATAGGCAACCAGACCACTAGTGGTCTGGGTGCAGTGCCCCTGTCTGTTAACCCTGCAATTGTAATTATTGCAGTTATTGATAAACTGCAGTAATTACATTGCAAGGTTGAATCCACCTCTACTGGCTGTGACAGCCACTAGAGACACTTTTGGGTCGTTAGTTAACTTTTGGTTGCCTGGCGCTGGACGTCCTCACATCCAGCGTCAGCTAAAACCTTATTGCTGCAATGCTTTCCTATAGGTTAGTCCTAATGCGATCACAACACTCACCGTGCATGCGCATTAAAATCCCCCCTGTCGACTGACGTCAGGGTAGGAGGAGCAGAGGCAGAGCCTCACCCAGCATTGAGGGACATCGGCACTGGAATCAGGTAAGTGACAAAAGTGTGTTTAACTCTTTCAATGCCATGGGGTGGGGGGAGGCACTAGGGATGGGGGAACTATAGGGTAGAGCAATGCTATGAATACAACTTTCTTAGCACTATAGTTTCCCTTTAAAGGCACAGCTTCAGAAGTAAAAGGCCTGCATGATGGAAAATTACAGTCATTTGTCCTTAAAGGGTTAACTTCTGCTGCTTATGATGTTTCAGTTACTGCTGGATTGGTATTCCCATAATCTTAAAGAACTTCAGAATTTGACTAAGAACTATGGGCTATTGAACAACAACCGAAAGAAACAATCTAAGATGTAGATTAGGCAGGTATTTTTTCATCCGCTTGCCTACCAACACATACATTTAAAAGCTGTTATTTTTCTTTCTTTAGGTGTTGCTGGTGATTATAAAAATCACTTTACTGCTGCTCAGGAAGAAGAATTTGATAAGGCTTACCAAGACTTTATGAAAGATGTGAACCTTACATTTGCATAGAAACAACTGAATGTTATTGAATATTATTCCACAACTACCTTTTGTACCATCATGATGTTTTCTCATAAGAGAATAAAGAAACAAATGTAAATATTTAGCATATTTATGCAATAATATTTCAT